GGTCTTCTTCTGTCTTTTTTAAAACAGAAAATATGTCCCAAACTAAAATATTTTTTCAGAGTCTTTATTTAGGCTTTTGACATTAAAACAGAGACAGTGATGTAAAAGATTAGCAACACATGATCTCTCATGATTAGAAATATAAATTTTAATTTGACCAAAATTGTATTGATATGCAATAAAGCAATAAAAGTAAAAAACAACAACAACAACAACAACAACAACTCAAAAGAAAAGTATTCAAAGAGTAAAAGAAAATCACATTATCATCAATATGGAAGCAGTTTATAAGAAATATATTGAAATAGTTATCAGGCTTAGACTTAAACCACTGCATACACATTCTATAATATTACACACACAGCGTAATAATTTCACACGGGAGGGGGGGGGGGATAAAGAAAGAACTTAAGTTACACATTCATATTGATAACATTTCTTCTTACTTTCATTAAATTTCAGGCTCTATTATTGTCATCACTGAAGGGAAAAACAGAAGTTCATAAAAGAAGTGTTTTATGAAAACATTGCAAAACAAACATTACTCTTGTTTTCAATGGGCTGGGGGGAAAAAAGCAAGCCTTACATAGCTGTGATAATGAATGCCTTTCTTTCAGTATGACAGTATCATTCCTGTCGGTACAGGAGCAGGCCTCCTGCCAGGACCAGAAGCCCAGTGGTGAACCAGCCAATGTAGAGTGAGGCTCCCAGCTGTATGCTGACACCACTGTCATATCTGTCCTTGTAGGACTCACGAATGGTGATGTTGGCCATCCAGCAGACAGGTATGAGCACCAAGAAACCTGCAATGATGAAGACAACTCCAGAAGCAAAGCCCACTTTGCGTTTTTGCCCATCATCCAACATGAAGTTAATGCGCTTGTTCCCGGCCACACCAAGCAGGATTCCAAAGATCCCACTGAGGATTGCGATAATGACGAGTGCTCTGGTAGCTTTCATGGCGTCATCTACCAGTGGTGGAAAAACCTCATACCCAATGCATTCCATCTTGCCTGTGGTGTATATTGTACAGACTTTCCATAAACCATACCAAGTCCCATAAATGTTATCACGGTACACAGAAGTTCTGTGTACCGAGACTTTCCAGGCAGGGAGACCACAGATCATGATGGTCCCCAATACACCAATGATGGCTAAAGCCAAACCCAAAATCTGTCTTCTACCAGCATCCATAATGAAGCTCTTTTGATCTCTTCAAAACAGGAAGTTGGTGTGTGCTTCAGAGCTGCAGTAATGTATCTGTTCAGTAAGTGCTCAGCAGGCATCTTAAATACTCAGCGCAAATGGGTTGTGGCTTTCTCACTCACTTGGGGGTGTGTCCACATGAAGCCTGTGTTGATGCCCCTTATCATTATTATTAAGAGCAGCAAAAATTAAGAAAAAAGCTAAAATAGAAGATAAAATAGAATAGTATACTATACAAAATACAGGGTGGGCTATTTATATGGATACACCGTAATAAAATGGGAATGGTTGGTGATATTAAAGTCCTGTTTGTGGCACATTAGTATATGTGAGGGGGCAAACTCCTCAAGATGGGTGATGACCATGGTGGCCATTTAGAAGTCGGCCATCTTGGATACAACTTTTGTTTTTTCAATAGGAAGAAGGTCGTTGTGACACCTTATTGGTAATGTCACAAGAAAAACAAAAACAAACAAACTCACACTCTTTGTATGTATTTCTACTGTCATATTGCAAAATAGGAAGTTAGAACAAGTTATTTTTCCATTTTATTAGTTCCTCATATTTACTTACACTAACAATGTGAACATTGTTTCTCAATCACCATCATCCCTAACTTATTCCAGTGCTGAAATACCGCAGGTGTGGTGACACATTCCATTATGGGAATGGCCACCACTTAAGCTCTCTTGAAGAGCGATTCCAGCTGTTCAGCTTCCAGCTGGACTTTTTCCATTAATTTAGCACTTTTGCAAGTTTACATGGTTGACTATGATGTCATCATTTAACAGTTCTCCAGGTCACAAAATAGGCTTGAATGATCCCCTCAACGATTGTGTGTGTGTGTGTGTGTGTGTGTGTGTGTGTGTGTGTGTGTGTGTGTTTGTGTGGGTTCTTCTGTTCAGTTTTATTGCTTTCTCAGCTATAGCCTTCATGGACGATACAGTCAGAGGTCTGTTTCTTCACTTTGTCGGTGAAGCCTTTATTGTTTTATGTGTGTCTTGAGATTTGTAGCCTTGGTACACATCTCTCCTGACTTTATTTGCTAAACTGTTTTGTTATTTTCAAGCACCATTAGTGTAACAGTGGTGGCTTGTCGATCAAGCATGAAATGGAACAGATGGTTACAGAGGTAACACTAGTTCTATGAATGAAGGTCAATGACCCTGTTGGTGTGGTCACTCAACAGGCTGGTGTGGTCAAGGTGAAAAAAACTGAAAATGATCCCATGGTGGCACAGCTGTATATATGCTATATTTTTTTTTTTTTTTTTTTTTTTTTTTTTTTTTTTTTATTGAAATTTTTTATAGTACAACACAAACAAATGTTGAACACCCTCACATGCACACATCCATCCATACATCAAACCTGCCTACATCACATTCAAATGTAGAAATAAGCATAGTTCTCACAATAATACAAAAATACAATGGGTTAGGATAGACAAGATTCTCCCCTCCTTTCCTTCTTCTTTTCCTTTTTTTTTCATAAATGTCCTTCACCTCCACTCCCTAAAATAGTCATATATGGCTTCCACATATTCACAAAGTCCCATTGTTTGCCCTTGGCAATATATGTCAGTCTTTCCAGGCCTAGAGAGATGCAATTTCCTTCTTCCAGAGTCCCATGGAGGGAGCATCCATACTCTTCCAACATAGCGCAATGGCTCTTCTGGCTTGAAGTAGTCCATAGTCCAGTAATTTAGTTTTTTTCCCCGATTGCTTAAATTCCCTTGGATATATTCCAAGTACACAGAGTTTTCCTTTTAAAGGGATTTTTACCTTAAACACTTCGGACAGATATTTGATAACATCTTTCCAAAAGTCCTGGATTTTAGGACACTCCCATAGACAATGAAGAAGAGTTCCTTTTTCAACTAAACATTTAGTACAGATGTCCGGAATATCATTGGACATATGATGAAGCTTGACAGGTGTTATATAGGTTCTCATGAGCCATTTATATTGCAGTAGTTTAAAGCGTGTGTTTATTGTTTGTTTTTGTGCTTTTAAGCAAGCCTGGTTCCAGTCATTTTCATCTATGTCCTCTTGGATCTCCCTTCTCCAAGCATCCAGTTTATCTGCTGCTGAGTCTTTGGAGGAAAGCATCAGTAAATTATAATATATAGAGAGAAAACCTTTCCCTTTTGTATTCTTAACACATACCTCCTCTATTTTTGTCAATGGTGGAAGTTCAGCAATCCTTTGCAGTTTTGATGACAAATAGTTTTTCAATTGTAAATATTTAAAAAAGTGCTTTGGGGGTATTAAATATTTTTTACACAACTGATCAAATGTGAGCAGCATGCCATCTGCATATAGGTCTTTAATTTTTTGAATGCCTTTATTTTTCCATATTTTAAATCCTCCATCACTTTTACCAGGCGTGAACTTTTCATTTCCCCAAATAGGGGTAAATTGCGAAAGCGATGGAGGATCGCCCACATATTTATGAGCTGCATGCCAAATTATAATTGTATTTTTCAAGAAAGGGTTCCTTGTATTTTTTTTTAATGTCTTAGTGTCTGAAGAATATAGAAAAGTGTGTAAGGGAAGATCTGGAACAGATTTTTGCTCGATGTCAACCCAGGCTGGAGGTGTTGTTGGGCAGAAATAATGGGTGGCTGATGTTAGTTGGGCAGCCATATAATACCATCTGAGGTTGGGGACTTGGAGACCTCCTCTTTCATAGGGCAAGTAAAGTAGTTGTAAGCGGAGCCTTGCCTTCTTATTATTCCAAATAAATTGGTTAAATAGTTTGTTTAAACTGTCAAAAAATGAAGTTGGTAGAGGCAACGGAAGTGTTTGGAAGTAATATAAAAATTTGGGTAAAATTGTCATTTTTAGGATATTTATCCGGCCTATCATAGATACAGGCAGGTTTGTCCAACGGTTTAGCATTTCCGTGACCTCTTCTACAAGGGGATCATAATTTATTGAGGTTATGTCCTTGAGGCTTGGGGTGATCCTAATGCCTAAATATTTAAAGCCTGTTGTAGTTGTTTTAAATGGGGTGGCCACCACAGGGCTTCTTCTTTCTTCTTCATTAAGAAACATTAATTCTGATTTAGAATTGTTAATTTTGTATCCTGAAAATTCTCCAAATGTTTTTATTAATGTTACTAAATTAGGGATACTATCTTTCAGATTAGTCAAAAAAATATAATATCATCTGCAAATAAAGAAATTAGATGGTCTCTTCCTCCAATTCTTATCCCTGATATTCCTGCATTTGCTCTCACAGCTATGGCCAGAGGTTCTATTGCTAACACAAAGAGAATTGGTGACAGAGGGCAGCCCTGCCTGGTTGATCGCTGTAAATTAAAGGGTTTTGATACGTTATTATTAGTTAAAACTTGTGCTGTTGGATGTGTATACAATAATCGGATCCATTTCAGGAATGTTTCACCTAGTCCATATCTGGGGAGCACTTGTAAGAGATAATTCCATTCTATTCTATCGAAGGCTTTGCACGCATCTAGTGATAGCAGCGCAGTGTCCTCCCTATTGTTTTTCTCATAAAGTACATTGAGGACACGTCTTATATTATGATAGCCTTGTCTCGTTTTAACAAAACCTTGTTGATCGTCTGTTATCAAATTAGGCACACATTTATCTAGTCTCCTAGAGAGTGCTTTACACAAAATCTTCGTATCACATCCCATAAGACTAATTCCCCTATAAGAGGAGCATTCAGTCGGAGGCTTATTTGGCTTCAATAAAAGGGTTATTGTAGCTAATCTCAGTGAGTCTGGGAGTATTCCGGACTTATATGACTCCTCATACATGTTAAGAAGTGGCAGTATTAATTTATTTTTAAATGTTTTATAGAATTCCATTGGAAGTCCATCAGGACCAGGCGTTTTACCGCTATTCAGGTCGTCTATGGCTTCTGACAGGTCTTTTATTGTTAAAGGACTATCAAGGGCTGTTTTATCCTCTTCTGAGAGGGTTTGAAATTTTAACTGATCAAGAAATGCATCTTGTGTTTCTCTGTTTCCCGTATATTCAGATTGGTATAAAGATTGATAAAACTCTCTGAAATTTTCATTTATTTTTAAAGGGTCTGTTGTTATAATACCCGATTTGGACTTTATGTGGGTGATGGCCTTTTCTGCTTGCATCTTTTTTATCCTCCAGGCCAATAATTTTCCTGCCTTCTCTCCTTGGTCATAAAATAATTGTTTGGTCCACATTAAACTTTTTGCCACTTTCTCTGCTGTTAATTTATCATACCTGGCTCTTAGAATAGTCAGATTGTTTAGTTTAGTGGGATCATTGCTCTGGTAAAATTCTGTTTCATTAGATTTAATTTGCCTTTCTAATGATTTTAATTCTTGGTTATATTGCTTACTCTTGTTGCTACTGTAGCTTATAATTTCCCCTCTTATGTAAGCTTTAAATGCTTCCCACCTAATACTAGCTGTGGTTTCATCTTTATTTATTTGAAAATATTGATCAATGCAAGTTTCTATAAATTTGACAAATGATGGGTCCTTTAACAAAAATGTTTGCATCCTCCATCGCTTTACACCTTGATCAACTTCGCCCAATCTAACTGATAGACATACTGCTGCGTGATCACTAATCACAATACTGTTATACCAACAGTTCTCAACACAAGGTAGTAACTCTGTAGAGATAAGAAAGTAGTCTATCCGCGAATGACTTTGATACGAACTAGAATAACATGAAAATTCCCTGTTATTTGGATTCCTTGTTCTCCAGACCTCATTTAATCTCAAATCTTTCATATAGTTAAAAAGTATTTTTCTAGTCTGGGTATGAGTAGTGTCAGTTTGAGACGACCTATCCAGGTTAGGGTCCAGGGCGCAATTAAAGTCCCCTCCTATGATATAAAGGCCCTCCAAGGTTGATATTGTGAGAAATAGATTTTCATAGAAGGATGGGTTATCCTCGTTGGGGCCATAGATATTTATCAGGTTTATTTCTAACATGGAGATACGGCCCTGCACAATTACATATCTCCCGTTTGGATCTGTAATCACCCTCGTAGTTTGAAATGGGATTGACTTATGTA